TAACCTGCAGGTGGTAGGTTTGTACCCTTCATTTAACATCTGTGTTAATATTATCTTGAGTTACTGAGGAAAACACACACAAACACAGGTGAAGTTCTGATGTGTAACATTTTTATGGCCATTTTCCAGCTGGAAGCACACTATTCCTAATTTATGCTATGGAGCCAGTACCTACAATTTATGTCTCTAGAGGCAACAAGAAACTCTGAGCAGTATTTCCAGCGTGGAACCTACACAACCTCCAACAAAATCACCAAAATGCTGATTTCTGGGACCCAATCCAGAACCACTCAATCAAATTCTCTAAAAGTGTGTTGTTTGCCTGGGATGCTACATTTTTAATAAGCATTTCTATATATTAAATGATGTGTAGACATTAGACATGAAAACAAGAATGTTGTAAGCATGAAACACTGTAACACAAAATAAATATTTAATAATAGTCTGTTCTCCGGAAATGAAGAAAATAAGGGATTATATTTTACCCCCAGGGAAAGTACCATTGTAGCAGGGTGGCTTTTTGTTCTGGGTTGGTTTTTTTGTCTATTGAGAGCAGAGAGGTTAATTTATGGAAAAAGAGTATTAATGGTAGATTACAGATAATCCCTAACCAGGGTTTCTACTTTAAACAATTAAGAGTCACAGAAATAATGAAAAAATTATTTCTAATATTAATATTAGGAATTAGTCCTAATATTAAATGTTTTAAACCTCTAAATTTGAAAATTAAAATTTGAAATTTATTTCAAATTGTATACTCACCTGGTTTGAATGTCTATAATCCTGCTTAGCCTCTATGTGACCAATAAAAGCAAAAAAATTTAAATGAGACATGGGAGATAAAAATAAATTCATTTTGTTCATAGGAAATCTGGTATCAAACACTTAACTTGATCTGTAATCCACCAAAACTCACTTAAAGGTATTTTACTTGAGCCTCACAACAGTCTTACAGTGTAAATAAGAATAGACATCATTATTTTTATCCAACTCCTACTCTAGACTTATAATACAATGTGTAGATTCATACTTGAACCAAAACAGATCTTGGAATCATCCTTTCTGGTGGTTAGATGTGGCGTGAATCAGCTACACTTGAGTACTAAATAAAACCTCCTTGGCTCTGCCTTCAGAGATTATTTCAATGGGTCTAACATGGGGCTCAAGAATTTTTATCCAGTACTCAAGGTGATTCTAATTCTGGGAGGTCCTCGAACCACAGCTTGAGAATCACTACTTAATTCAGTCTCAACTGAGTCCCAGAGAGATAAACAATTATTAGATGACTACGTGGTGTAGCTGGGACTCAATCCCAGACTTGTATTCTCATTTTCACTACCCACACCATTTACAAAACAAAACTTAGAAAATCTTTCTTCACTTAATTTTAATTACGACTAAAAAAATTTTCATCAATTATCAAGAGGCTTCACCAAGCTGAACTCTGAAAACTGCTTTTAGGGGTAATAGCTTAGTAGATATGGTGTGAGCATGTACTACAAAAAAACACTACTGTAACTTTTTCCTTCCTCTGGACATTCCAAACTAAGAATAACAGGAAGATGTGTCATACTGGTCAAGGTCACTACATACATAATCTCATTTAATCTATATCGTTCTATGAAGTAGATACTATTTCTACCTATTTTGTGAAGAAACTGAGGCTTGGGTGGCTATAATTTGCCAAGGAATATAAAGTTAAGTGGCCAGGCTAGGACTGGACCAAAGTTAAAAGCATGAGCTCTTAACTTCCCTCATATACTGTATCCAGTGTCCCTATGACTAAGACTTATTCACTGCCTAAGCAATAAATTTTGATATAATATTCTGCATCTTTCATTTGCTCTTAAGTCACTAAGAACTCTATCCGGTTCTTATTTTATAAAAATCAATCATTTACCTCAGACCCTTCCTCTCTACTATATTAGCGTAAATCACCCTCTACTGCCTCCCTGCTAGCCATATTATTTCTCTGCAATCCATTTTATCTGTCGATCTCAATGGTTTCTCTTGGGTGTCATTATGAGTAACTACTATTCTCTTCCAAACTGTAATGACATAGCATAGGCTAAAAGCCCTTGATTAGGAAACATGTTTTCCTTAAAATGTTAATCAATCACCTTGTTCCTCTTATAGAATATTGGTCATTGTCAATTTCTGCCATTCCTATTTTCATCTTTTGAATCTCTGCTGTTCTCATCTTCCAGATGGTTTCCCATCATCTACCAAAGCTCTGTTTCACACCAGTTTCCCAATCTGGCTCTCTCCTGAAATTTCACAGTTTCATATAGAATTCCCTGTGCTAGGTCCATCTTAGTGATTCACATGTGATCCCCTATGCCTTCTCCAATTTCCTGGCATCACCATAATTTCACCAAACACTCTAGACCTAAGCTGTCCTATATAATAGCCACTCACCGTATGTGGTTACTGAGCACTAGAAATGTGGCTAATCTAAATTGAGTTGTGCCATAAGTGTAAAATATACACCAAATTTTTCAGACTTATTACAAAAAAAGAAAAACACTCAATAATTTTCATATTGATTACATGTTGAAATATTTTTAATGTCCTGAGTTAAATAAACTATCCTATATAATAAAAGGCTAATATGCAAATAGACTGAACGGTGGAACAACCAAACAAGTGGTCACTATGATGTGCACTGACCACCAGGGGGCGTGTGCGGAACATGGTGGGCATTGACCATGGCGGGATGGTGGAGCAGATGAGTGGGGGCACCAGACCAAGGTGGGGCACCAGTTGCTGTCATCAGGGCGAGCCGCTGGTGGTTACTGAAAATTCTTTGTTCCTGCGCGCCACAGTCCCACGCAACACTCTCACCTGCTGCCAGCCCTGGCCCTGCTCGCACCCACTGCCAGCACCGGCCCCGCTCACACCCGCAGCCAGTGCCTGGTGCTGGTCCCAATCACTTGGCACCATCAGCGGGTGTGAGTGGCAGCTGCCAGCCCTCATGGCCCCTTAGGGCTTCTCCACCTCCCCCTGCACCTGAGGGGCGATCAGGGGAGCAGCTGCTGCTCACACCTCCTGATGTCGCCGGCCAGGCTTGCACCTGCTGCTGGTGCCAACCCCAATGCTCCATGCTGTCAGCAGGTGCGAGTGGGGCCAACCCCGTCAGCGCATGGGAGCGATGGCGGTGGGAGCAGGGCTGCCGGCTGACAGGGGACCGGGGGCCGCGGTGGGAGGAGCCTGGCGGGGGCAGGAGCATGGGCCGAGACCCACCCCTGTGCCTACTGCAGCCTCTTGGCCCAGTTCCTTTCAAGATGCATGAATTCGTGCACTGGGCTCCTAGTATTATTAAAAAATTCATGTTTTTCTTTTTACTTTTTTAAATGTGGCTACCAGAAAATCTAAAAAGTACATTTTGTGGCTTACACTGCAGTTCTTTTGCAGCACTGCTTTAGACAGTGCACCATTCTGAGCTAAAATGGCCTAATGTTCTATTTATATATAACACATTTATCTATCTCTATATATAAAGAGTCAGGGGCCGTCACATCCGAAACAACCAAACGGACGACCGAACAGGCTGAGTGGGGTGACAAGGCCGGCAGGGGGGTTAGTGAGGGACAACCAAATGACTGAGCAACAGGCTGCATGGGGCGACCAGGCCGGCAGGGGCGTTAGTGAGGGTCAACAATATGACTGAGCAGCAGGCTGCGTGGGATGACCAGGCTGGCAGGGGCGTTAGTGAGGGTCGACAAAATGACTAAGCAGCACGCTGTGTGGGATGACCAGGTCGGCAGGAGGGGGCAGTGAGGGGCGGCCAGGCCGGCAGGGGGGTCAGTGAGGGGCGACCAGGCCAGCAGAGGGGAGCTGTTGGGGGCGACCAGGTTGGAAGGGGGGGCATTTGGGGGTGATCAGGTCAACAGGCAGAGGTGGTTAGGGGCGAACAGGCAGGCAGGCAGGTAAGCAGTTAGGAGCCAGCGGTCCTGGATTGAGAGACGGATCCCAGATTGGAGATGGTGCAGTTTGGGCTGGGGCTGAGGGGACCCCCCCCGCCCCCCATGCACAAATTTCGTGTACTGGGCCTCTAGTCTATATATATAAGAGCCTAAGTGACCATTACAACCGGTCAACTGAACAACTGGTCACTATGACACGCACTGACCACCAGGGGGCAGACGCTCAATGCAGGAGCTGCCCCTGGTGGTCAGTGCACTCCCACAGCCAACCTCACACAGCCCTGCCAGGTGGCCAACCCCAACTGGGATTGGGCAAGATGGCCCTGATTGGCCCCGATCACCAGCCAGGCAGAGGGACCCCACCCGTGCACAAATTCATGCACCGGGCCTCTAGTATCATATAAGAGCTTCTTAGAACATACCCACTCTATTTTCAACCATTGCTTGAAAGTTGTATCTTCCCATAAAAATATCTAAAACAATTATTTAATCATCCTATATCATAAAAGGGTAATATGCAAATCAACCAAACAGTGGAACGACCAGTTGCTTTGACATGCACTGACTACCTGAGGACAGACGCTCAACGCAGGAGCTGCCCCCTGGTGGTCAGTGCACTCCCACAGGGGGAGCGCCGATCAGCCAGAAGCCAGGCTCACAGCTGGCGAGCACAGCAGTGGGGGGCCTAAGCTATCAGTTGGACATCCCCAAGTTGGACATCCCCTGAGAGCTCCCGGACTGCGAGAGGGCGCAGGCCTCCCCCCCCCCCCCCCCCTGGGCACGAATCTCATGCACCAGGCCCCTAGTAAATAATATATGAATGCATTTCAAAGAACACTATTTGGAATGAAGCTACCATAAATGTCTCCAAAGTGAGAACTACAAGTTAGGTGTCTAGTAAATGAGATATTCAAAGGCACATAACCACCCTGACTATTCTAAAACTAGTCCTCTCCTATACTTGGAAATTATTCTCTGAAATTTTTATTGTTCTCTTCTGTGTACTTAAAAAGAGCCCCCAAGAAGGTAAGACAATGGCTATCTCTAACAATGGAAAAGGAAAATCCTAGAAACTATAGAAAGACAAGTATAACTTCTATTGCTAAAGTATCTATATTCAAAACCACATGTATATGTAATTCTGGGACTTAGAACATACATTACTAAGAAAGAAATCATCATAACTTTCAGAAAGGACGTATTTAACAGCATCTGCCACAAATCCTGTTCAACCAGATGACTTAGAAACAGTGGTAGGTGAGTCTGACTCCGACCATGGTCATCTAGTAGCATCTGTGTCAAAGAAGAAATCACAACAATACTTCTTGAATTGTCTGAGCCAAGAGTTACAGTAATGACGATTTTCCTGAATTTGCAGAAGTAGCAATGATAAATCAAAACATCAGATGAAAAATCCTGGCAGTCTGTTGATGTCAGACTGGAAAAGAAGCAAAAGACAGGGGTTTCTGTTGAGAAATACTCTGAAAATATAAAGTACAACAATATGTAAGCTATCAATGCTTTAGGTCAACTACTTAACATACTGAATTATCCATGGAATCCATTTCTCCATTAAAACATAATAAGAAGCTTTTTACCTCAAGGTACATTTTACTTTTAAATGGGCTTTACATAATACATTCAATGTTGAAAAAAATAATGTATGACTCCTTTTTGACAGATGCAAAACTGGTAAGTGGGACACATTTAAGAAGTTAGCTACCAGTCATTAAATTTTACTGTCGGAGAATAAATACATACATACCAAACCATGGGCTCATATTTTCAATGCTAATTCAGAGACGGAAATGGAAAGTGCATGATCAGGTCTGCAACTATGTGAGGTTCTGAGAAAACATGCATTAAAAAAAAGAAGAAAAGAAAACATGCATTGGAGAGCAAGCAATTTTCACCAATAAGAGTCCCTAATACAGTAAGCATTTGACAAATTGTTTTTCTCCTACTCGTGTCAAAGACCAACTAACAAAATCAAGTCACAAGGAATGTAAATGAAAAAGTAACAAGAGAATGAGCAGAAAAGAGAAAAGATGTCAACTTGAAGAAGAGAAAGAAGGCAATGTGAGCAGCAATTTAAAATGATCCCAAAAAGCATGAGGTAAGTTTGTCTTGAAAATGAAATCTTAACAGATGGTTAAGTAGGGGACTTAGTCCTCAGAATATTTATAAAATGAGTTTTTCAATACATATCTGCTCAATTCCACTGACACTGAAAAGACAGCACAAGGCTTAAAAGCAGCTGTTCCATGATTTTGCTTGCTAGGACTTACCTGAAGCAGTTAGCATGGCTTTTCACTACTTTTTTCTTTCAAAAAGTATTGATATGCCAGCTGCAAAAATTTATCTATAATTAAATACACATACATAAATATATCAACACCTAAGCTTGATGTTCTGCAAATTTTCCTAATATTTTAACTAAAACCCCGATTTAAAATTTAAATTATTTCTTTTTTTAAAAAATATATTTTATTGATTTTTCACAGAGAGGAAGAGAGAGGGATAGAGAGTTAGAAACATCGATGAGAGAGAAACATCGATCAGATGCCTCTTGCACCCCCCCTACTGGGGATGTGCCCGCAACCAAGGTACATGCCCTTGGCCGGAATTGAACCTGGGACCTTTCAGTCCGCAGGCCAACGCTCTATCCACTGAGCCAAACTGGTCAGAGCTAAATTATTTCTTGATGTCCCATCAGGGCCTTAGAATTTAGGTTTCAAAAAAAGTGATGAGCAGAAAGTAAGTATAGGATAGAGTTTATTTAACAATTTAATTAGCAATAATGTATTCACTCATTGGCATTTACTCAACATTGACCAAAAGGAAAGAAAAACTGTCTTAACAAAATATTTAATATCATAAAAATCCACACAAGTATATGAACTAGAACTTGCAATATAGCAGAAGAAACACCTTTCCACATATGAGCTCTAGGACACAGGAGTACCAACCATATCTAAGTGCTCAGAGTATGCAAAATGTATGGGAATATACCACCCCCCCCAAAAAAAAATAGAATAGTCTTTTTCTATCCATGGAGAATCTGCAATCCATTCTGAATAGTGAACATATCAAAAATTTGAAATTTTTAAAAATAATCTGTATGCTTATTTGTAAGCCAAGTAAATGAGGAATGTGATGACTCAAGGAATAGAAGTTTATGAAAAAGATTCCATAGTGGTTTATGAAAAAGATTCTAGCTATATTTGTAAAGATATCTGATTGTCTAAAGAGGAGTGCATTCAAGGAAAATAATGGGACATATGCCCAAAACAGTCTATAGCAAAAAGTAATGCAAAAGGAAGTTTATTAAAAGGGAGAAGGAAGAAGTGGGTCTTCACTAATACAGCCAGGAGAAAAATGAGAAAAGTCAAGTGAGAAAAAACAGTTCTTGCAACTGAAAGGTTTATGATAATTACCCAGTGGTCGGCAAACTGCTGCTCGCGAGCCACATGAGGCTCTTTGGCCCCTTGAGTGTGGCTCTTCCACAAAATACCGACTTCTGCACATGGGCCACGAAGTTTCAATCGCACTGTACGTGCGCACCGCACGTGGTATTTTGTGGCTCGCGAGCCGCAGTTTGCCGACCACTGACCTATAATATTCAGAATCAATAGATAGTGACTTTACAGTTTAGAAGGCCTGAAGGTGTTAAAGGTGAAACTCGGTCCCAGTCAGTCCACAGGATGCTAGATAGGTGGATACAAAGTCTGACACCTGCTCTCGAATTGCAAATGTTCAAACAAGAAAAATGAGGAGTTGCTTGTTAGATTCAGCATTCTGGCAAGGTATATTTTACTCAGACTAATTTTTTTTAAAGGCACAGATAGGTAGAGTTATTTGAGATTAAAAGTACATTTTGATTAAAGAAATACCAGAGATGACTAAGAATATTAGAAGGAAGAAATAAGCCAACACTTAATTTGATGCTATGCTACATGAGAGTACAACAGTAACCAATGTCTGAATATTGAAGGCATGTCTGAATATTGAAGGTTTTCTTACACGTCAGACATTTTCACTCCAATATTATTTTGCTTTGAAAAAAACACACTCACACCCTCCACACATACCCTCTTCTCACACTCACATACATCCTCACATCCCTATGCCCCTTCTCCACACATCCCTACACACGCACATACCCTCTTCTCAAACATCCCACAATACCCTCACACCCTTACACATACATTCCTCTTATACACCTCCACACACCTTCACAACTCTCACACACCCTCACATCCTCTACTCTCACACATTCCTACAATCTTCACACCCCACACAGCTCTCTCAACCTCCTTATCTATCCTCTCCTACACTCCTATGCACATTCATACCCTAGTCAGTGCAAATAAACCATTCTCGTGCCTACCCTCACTCTTCCTCCCCCATCTCTCAATGCACCACACACTACCACTTTCTCACCTATCTAAATTTCAATTTATTTTTTAAGGTTCATTGAAGTCCTATTTTCTTTATAAAGCTTTCCAGACCACCTTGTCTCTGATTTTTTTTTTTCCTAGATTTCTTACTCAGCTGGTGGTTTAACTGGTTTCTCGTGCAACAGCACTTAAATACAAATTATATTGTAACATTTACTGTAGATTTATATAGAATTCTCTCTTCAATTAGGCATAAGCATAGACCACAGCTTTCTGTTTTCTCTACAGGAACACAGTAAAGGGGCATATCCCTCTTGAATGCTTGTTACCTTATACTGTATTCCCCTTTCTCACCTAACTTTTCTAATAGTGCCCCAAATAAGTCCCTGGATTTCCTTCCATAATTTCACATTTAAACACACAACTGAGAGGGTCTTGCACTTATAAATTGGCTTAAGGAAATATGCAAAAGGCAAGAACGAATAATCAATCTCTCTTATGAATGATGCAAAATCAATTTTAATATTTTTATAAATAATTTGTAAAAGCATGTATACAGCAAAACCTCCAGACTTACAGATTTCAGAAAGCAATTCTAGGAAGTAAGTTACCAAGCCAAAAGGGAGGAACTTTATAACGTTCTCTTCAGGGTATAAAATTGTAATATTAGAATACTTTTTAATATCAAAGGAAGAATAATAAAAACTACCTTATTAAATGATTATTTATGAGGAAAAAAATCTAGAAATCATCAAGGATATTAAAAGACAATGACAGAAAGTACTGATATATCCACAAAGGACAACATTTTATAATCCTTAGGAAATGGACTAAAAAACAAAAACAGAAATTACTAAAACTCTGCAAAAAAACAGACAGGTTATCCACATCTGATATTTCAAAGAAGATACAGATCCCTTCCTAAGAATTCAGAGTTGGTATTACCTCCCAGTTTAACATTCCACAAAGGTGGTTACAGGGAAAAAAGGAAAAATAACATTTTAAAGCATAGCATCCAAGGCTTCATTTCACTGGTACCCAACTTATTTTTTTAACCCTACCTCCCATTACATTTTCACTGCTTCTATCCTGTCTAAAAGGAATAGTCAGCATATCTATAAATATTATCATATTTACTGCTTCAATGCTCTTGCACATGCTGGCTACTATGCACAGAATCTTCTTCCCCATCAAAGGTTACTTGGTGAAATCCTACCATTCTTCCCAAATCCAGTCAAATGCCACCACCACCACAAATATTTTTTTATATAAAATCAATGAGCATGAGCTGAGGAATAATAATTCCACCAACACTGAGGCAGGCACAAAAATTCAGAGATGAATTAGACAAACCCCTTACAGATTTAATGTGAAGAGAAAAAACTAGAGAAAATGTCAATAATGTAGGAAGTACAAGTATATTAAGTAAATGAATAAGGTGCTAAGGCAACACAGAAAGGAGCATCTAACAAAGTGCTAGAGAAGAGGGGACCCCAAGAAACTGCAGGATGTATTAAATCAGTAGAATGTAGAGGCAAAATACAAGTATGTGGTACAGGGGAGAGATTAGATAATTTTTAGTGTTATAGGATCAAAGTGGAAGGCAGTGAATAGCAGGAAATGAAGTTAGAAAGGAACAGTGCCAGAGTACTGTACAGAAATTAAGAAGCTTGACCTGCCTGGCTGGTGTGGCTCAGTGGTTGAGCAATTTCCAGTCAGGGCACATGCCTGGGATGCAGGTTCCATCCCCAGTATGGGGCATGCAGGAGGCAGCCAAACAATGATTCTCTCTCATCATTTATTTTTCCCTCTCTCTCTTCCTCTCCCTTCCTCTCTGAAATCAATAAAAATACATTTAAAAGAAAGAAGCTTGACCTTCATCCTGTGAGGTGATGAGAAGTCAGTATGGGGGTTTTAAGCAGCTGAGTGTCAGAGTCAAATCTGTACATTCATAATGTATCTCTTAGTTTCTATAATATCCATGGTTTCTAGCAAAGACTGTAGAAGACAGGTTTTCACATTTCCAGGTGCTTTTTTGTTTGCTTTGTTTTATTTGGGAGTAGGAGAAGGAAAGGTCCAATTAAGAGTCCAACCCTAGCCAGTTTGGATCAGTGGATAGAGCGTAAGCCTGCAGACTCAAGGGTCCCGGGTTCAATTCCAGGCAAGAGCACATGCCCGGGTTGTGGGCTCGATCTCCAGCGTGGGGCGTGCAGGAGGCAGCTGATCAATGATGTTCCTATCTCTCTCTCTCTCACTTTCCCTTCCTCTCTGGATTCAATAAAAATATATTAAAAATAAAATAAAAATAAAAAGAGTCTAGGCAAGGAACGGTGAGGGAAGAACTAATACACTAGTGATGGGAATGGGCAAGCAAGAAGAGATTCAAGAAATAGTCAGAAGGTAAAATTTACAGGATTTAGTAATTTCTTAGATTTGGCACAATATTAAG